TTAGATGTCTTATGTTTTAAGTTTTTGATGTTATTTTCTTCCCATGGCTAGTTGGGTATATTGATAAAACTGAGTAAAGGGAATTTATAAGGCTTTTCCCCCCTTAAGTTTCCATTGCATGGGCACTTTTTATCCTCAAAGGGGAGGGAGCTGGAATGTTTCTTCTCATACTCAAAACTAATGATATCAGTAAAATCATTTCACTTCATAAAAAAGTTTATCATTAAAGTCATTTCAAGCATGTACTATTTGGTGTTTGAAAGATGAACAATCATTAACTAGTCATTATGCTGCCACCATCCAGACAGTACTGGAGCTGAATGGTAATAAAGAAGTTTCAAGCTGATTAGTGTGTTCACAGTTGCTTATTTACCCACTCTGTTTGTTTCATTTCATTATGTTTCCTCTACAATTGCCTGGAGTATTCTCTGAACTAGCGTTTCTTTGGAGCTTGAAGTAACACCAAGAACTGTGATTACTTATGGAGGGCTAAGGAAAGAAAAATTCAAATTTGGGATCTGTTTTAGACATCTCAAAATTTAATCTAGAGTGCAGACCTTTTTTGTGTTGCTTTGTGATGAAACTGAAGAATATTGACTTTAAGATCAAGCTTGCTTACAGATTGAAAGTCTTCTTGCTTTTGGGATGTTTGTGCTTGTTAGGAAGTATTTAAGACATTTTGCATATGCACAGATCTATGGTGGATATAGTTTTAAAAAATTGTTTGATGTATTAAAACTCAACCTTTTTATTTTTTTTAATGCAAGATTTTCGATGGACATGGAGGAAAACATGCAGCTGATTTTGCTTGCAACCATTTACCAAGGTTTATTGCTGAGGATGAAGACTTCCCAAGGCAGATTGATAGGGCAATTTCTTCTGCATTTTTGCAAACTGATACTGCTTTTTCAGAAGCCTGCAACTTGGATGCTGATCTTGCTTCCGGTACCACTGCTTTGGCAGCCCTTATTATTGGAAGGTTCACTTGTTCTCAACTTTAATCATCTGTTGTTGACTTAAAAATTCATTTGTTGCCTGTTTAGTTTCCATTTATTTTTCATTATTTTTGAATTTTGAATGGGGGCAATGTGTTAAGCCAGGTTCAAGGTGGGCTTAAATTTGGAAGCAGTTTGATACCATTAATTTGTAGGAATTCTGTGTCTTTTCAACTAGAGCATCTGCACTACATTTCTACTAGAATATTTGTACTTTTCTCGTAGTTTTTCTGTTTTTGATCAGCGGATATTTGTTTTACTACTAAGTTCTTAGGTAATTTGTTATGTCCAAGATACACAACATGTAAGAGCTTGCAGTTAAATTATTTGCTTGAGGTTCTCTACAGATGTCTTGTTGGAAACTTCGATAAATTCCTGTATTTTCAACGCACCTACGTACCTCAATCCTACCAGTTTGCTGAGTACAGTTACTCTACTGAGGGGCAACAAAGGTTGGAACTTGTACTAATTCTCATGGCACTGGACCTTTGACTAAACACCCCTGTGGAAGCTCTTTCAGTTACTTTTCAGTCATGTATCTTGAGATGAGTTTATAGTGCCATCTGCATTCAATATTAGATTTCTCTGAGGAGGTGTAATCTAATTTTCTCCAAAAGATGTTTATGTCCCCATGTCCATGAGAACCGCGACTCTTTGTTCATTTGCCTGCAGTATTGTCAACAATTTTTTGGATAACTACACTGAACTACCCCCGCTACCCACATGCTTTCTCAGCCTAGAGTGAGGGGATCACCTAAATATGTTATCTTACTTTTGCTTTGATCTTTTGCATGGGAAGCAGTTCGCTGGTTGTGGCAAATGCTGGAGATTGTAGAGCTGTACTTTGTCGTCGTGGTAAAGCTATTGAGATGTCGAGAGATCACAAACCTGGTTGTTTTGGGGAGAAAGAGCGGATTGAAGCTTCTGGAGGATATGTGTATGATGGCTACCTGAATGGACAACTTAATGTGGCTCGTGCTTTAGGAGATTGGCACCTGGAAGGATTAAAATCTATTGATGGTGGTCCACTTAGTGGAGAACCTGAACTTATGAGCACCAGACTTACAGAAGAGGACGAGTTTCTCATAATAGGTTGTGACGGTATATGGGATGTCTTCATGAGCCAGAATGCTGTTGACTTTGCTCGTCGAAGGCTTCAGGAACACAATAATCCAGTGATGTGCAGCAAAGATCTCGTTGATGAGGCTCTGAAAAGAAAGAGCGGGGACAATTTATCTGTGGTTGTGGTGTGTTTTCAAAAGCAGCCACCTCCCAACTTGGTTGTCCCACGCGGAAGGGTGCATAGGAGCATTTCTGCAGAAGGCTTAAAAGAGTTGCAGGGCTTTTTGGATACCTTGAAAGATTAAGATAGTAAACCATGACCTTTTTGTTTTATGATCTTTTAGTTTTCAGTTGTAGGAGTTAAAAGATCTCCCCTCCCCTCTTTCCGCTGTTCCTCCCTTCCCTTGTTGCTTCTCATTCTTGTAGTTTATGGTTAGATGATGGGAGAGATTGACCAACCAACTGTAACATATGCGGCGCTGTTGTCTGATTAACTAACATTTTCTTTGTTTTAGGTGATTCTGAACCTTCTTGATAAATTTTAACTTGAGATATCATTTCCATTAATTTTCTCATTGAAGTCCTGCTAGCATATTATCCAACTAAGATGCAGGGTTGGCAGGTGCAAAATGGTCACTGTTTTCCAGACAGTTGATTATCTTGGTGTGTACTTTTTTCTTTGGAGCTTCTCTCTGTTCTTTCTGTTGTGCGCTCCGTAGCTGCGTATTACTCGGGCTTACTTGAGTCAGCTTCTGCCTGAGATTTGTGCTTTATTTTAGTTTATCATAATTTTTTGCATATAAATTGTATATTTGTTTTATACTTATCAGTGTGAGTATTCTCTTTTGTTTCTAAGAAAATACTAGGTTAATTGTGCTTCTCTCCAGAATCCGTTCAATGAAGGCTTCTTTAGTGCACCTACTCTACCATTTCAATCTAGAAAAAATCCTAATCCGGTTAGTCTCTCTATCTATCTATCTATCTATCTATCTATCTATCTATCTATTTCTTTCTCTCTCTATCTATCTCTCGTGGAGTTAATTTCTCAGACAGTCACTTTTCTATTATAAAACAAAGTTGAGTGACTTTCTGATATAAAAGTTAGTTGAGTGAACGTATGAGAAATGAATTCGTCTCTTCTTCCATACTAATAATCTTCCATCTTTGTTTGATAAAGCAGGGGTTAGAAATTTATCTCCAAAGCAATGAGATTCCAGATTTTTGCAGCAATCGAGTAACATATTCGTCTATCTACTTTACTATGCCCACACATAATGAATATAAATTCTTAGGAATGATTGTCTGGTGTGTTCGAAAGTTTGTCAAAGTACCAACTTCAAGAGGTTTCCATCTGCGTGGATTGAGCTTTAATATTGTTGGAAGAATGCCTTCAAAATGTTACCATTGGCGATATGATTATGAAATATATGCTAGTCGCGCAGAACCATCATGTGTACTTTACAGATCTTACTTGCAAGAACCATTTTATGGACAGATTATGGAAGGTGGAGATAAGATGTAAATCGCAGAGTTTGGTGAAGAAAGTACAGTAAAGAAGATAGGGATCCATCTGTTATATTTAGATGAACATGGTAACGTTACATCTTTGCCAGCAATCATTGATCATTCTCATTCAACGACATAGACTCAGTAGAGTAGTATCCAAAAGGCATAATACACAAAACATACATTCAAACTAGGCCTCAATTGACAAGTAAACACTTGACTTTGAGAGTACATGTCTAGACACCTCAACTTGATTTCAACAGACAACTAAACACTCCCCATTGTGTCTTGTGGACATCTGATGTTGACGTGACACATAAATTTTGAAGATGTCTAGATGATCCGTTTTACAAGTTGGAGTACTCAACTAACATAGAGGAGATGACTTGAGGTGTATTATTGTGCACAAGCATAGTTGCTAAAATATTCATACACTAGAAAGAATCTTTACTGTTAAACAATACAACTTGTACATCAGAATAATAAATTAGTGTTACAACTTGATCTATTATTCCTTTTAATATACAATTTAAGATGTTATAACCAGAAGGTCTCGGTAACACTACTAAAGAGGACTGTCTATGTATTTGTGAAGGATCTAGAAGTAGGCATCAATACGAAATAATGTACCGATTATGAAAGGTAACAGAATATCAATATACAACAGAGCAAAAAACTTAAGTGGCTACAATGTGCTTGCCTTTACAAAAAGAACACAATGCCATGTTCTTTATATCTAAGCTGGAAGTTGATTAGTCCGAGTAGTGTTAATGTTAAGATAAGTGACACTTGACCTATGTCTTCCTTTGCCAATGTAAGATAGGTCGTCGTTTCTGGTTTTTATGAATGTGCAACTCAGGGGCGGCTTAAGCATATTAGTGGTTTAAAGTCACAATCAAATGAAGCCCTTAAATTTAAATTGTACTCCAAATATGACAAGTTTCTTCTAATAATTCTTTCATTTTCTATGAAAACTTTATTTTTTATACAAATAGTATTCCATATTATTTTAAAAAAATAAATTATAATCTATCATTGTTAAGAAATGAGGTTCTCAAATTTGGAGGCTTAAACATGGATCATTTCAATCCTGACTTCATGAACGTAAAACTCCATTCACTAAGTACCTTGAATATTATCCTTTTTTCCTATGATTTGAGTACGAAAGACATAGTATACATCCATGAAGATGTAATGTTCATGAAAATATAACCAACAATGAAATTGAAATTTATAATAATGTTTAGGTTCGATTCATTGTCACAAAAGAATGATGGATATAGAGTATTGGTTATTCATTAATTTAAATTTAAATTCTAAATTTGTTTTAAGGCTTTAAGCGGCAATATAAACACACCCGAAGCGAGGCGCTCAAAGTTGCAGATGATTGCAATTGGCGGGTATACAGTGCTTCTTCCTCTGCATACTGCAACTTCAATGGAAATCGAAATCTCCTCTGTGAAAATGCTCTATAAACATGTGAGTTTTTTCCCCCCAAACATAGCCACTATGCATTTCTAATCCAATTTGAACTTCATTTTCACTCTTCTACTTTTGCAGCTCATTTTCTGCGCCGTTCAACGATGCCGCATGTCCGATGCTCTTTGCAGGTTATCCGTGAAATTGACCTCGTTTTCTCGATTAGCACTCCCGCTCGTTCGAATATCAGGCAATTTCTCTCTCTCTCTCTCTCTCTATATATATATATATATGAGTGTGTGTTTATGGTAACCGCAGTTCCGACTCTTCCATCAGAAATTCGTATCTGTTGTCTCAATATAATGCCGTAATTCTGTATATTTATGTCTATGATGGCATAGGAAGATGCGTCATCTGAGAGTGATTCAGTTTGGAAGACGCATTGACTAGTTTTTCTGGATTTATGAAAATTACATTTGCGAGTAATTTTCTTTCTTTCTGATCCGAGTCTTTTTTATGCTTGTAATAGGGAAATGAAATTGCATTTAAGAAACAAAATACAGAGTTGTACTTTGAAGTTTGAACTGCAGTTTGATATATTGTGTTAATACAGTTAGCAGAAAGAATCTATGATGATGAATCATTAAATTTTCTCACCAACAGTTTCTGATACTGGTGTTGGGAGCAAACCGGAGGATTACCAATATCTGAAATACCGAAACGACCCTACTCTGGCTAATCAATGGGGTAAGCAATTGGCAATTACATGCTTGTTATGTTTTGACTCTGTTTTCCCAAGTTATATTTCTCAGAGAGTCATACTGGATGCGCACATAGCTTTGGTTTAAGGTTCAGTAGACACAGAGCTCTCATCTAAACATATCTGTGTGTGTACTTATGAAGGAAACAAGACCTCACACTAAAAGAACTTTGATCAACATTTTAAGATATATTTTTTCACCTCATTGATATGTGAAGAATTGCAACTTATAGTAATATTCGTATTGTTTTGGGATATTTAAATTTTAATTCTAAAATATTGATTTAATCTAATCCAATATAGCTTCGAAGATTAGTCAAATTGACTATCAAAAAGTGAAAAGTGACATATTTTGGGACAAGAGGAGTAATGATCTATTCTCGTGTTTAGGCACAACGCCGAGACAATTGTGCATGTGGTTCCTAGATGGTGCATTCCCATAATCCATGACTAGAATTTATTCTGACCAACTAAAATTCTGATTAAAGTACTAGAAAACGTCACCGTCTACTCCATCCCTTGGAGTGAAGCATAATTTGATGCACAACTTGAGATACTTGGAAGTTGGAACATTGTTCTTCAGATTTGAGCTAACAGATTAGGGAGCTGAAAAAGAGGAGTATATTGTGGGGTGAGATGAAAGAGAAAAAAATATGGTGATTCTAGGGGAAAAGTAACAGAATATTCACCAAGTGTACAGGTTGCGTAAATGCCTTTGTTTTACTCCCATGGCTGCCGTACAAGAAAAAATAGAAAACAACATAAAGAGAGGAAAAGTAAGTAACTAACATAAGAATTCAATTTTTAATTTTCTCACGGCATTTCACAGGTATTGCAACTCAAAATTATGTGTCTCGGCCTTTAATGTCGTCCTGCTTGGAAGATACAATTGAAAAGCCTTCCATAACTTTTTTTCTACCACCTGTGAGTGTGCTGATGATATAGTATAATTACATTGCAGATGGGATGATTTCTCTTGCAACTACAAGTAAGTCTTACCCTTCTTGGTGAATAATTCTTTTGCCTAGTCAGATTTATTGTTAGGATAAAAATTGACAAATTTTGAAAATAGTAATATTTTTGTGATGTATGATTGAAGTTGTATCAATAAAGTACTGTAACTACTTCAACTTTAGAGGATGAACTTCTTGCTTGCCTTCTGCTCCTCTGAACTTTGCTACTTTAGTTTTCTAAAACTCTTGTGAGCTGAGATGTGTTTGTTTTTTCCATTGGTCTATGCTTTGGTGGCAGTTTATGCATGACATAATCTTCACGTGTTACTTTAGCTAGTCCTGTTCTTTCCTTTGTCCTTTGAGGGATTTGATAATGATCTTAAGATTAGAGGCAGCTTTCTAAAGCTGGAGATACTTAGAGGTTAAACTAACTCCACAACATTTTGGTTTTGCTATTCGAACAGTCTCAGAACCTTGAAACGCTTAAATCGAAAAGAGGCATTACCAATAAAGCAACTCTACATTTTCTTATGGTAAATTACAACAACTACATACCCAGTGTAATCTCATATGTGGAGTCTAGGGAGGGTAGAGTGTAATCCCACAAGTAAGGTTTGGGGAGTATAGAGTGTACACGGATCTTACTCCTACCTCGGGGAGGTAGAGAGGCTGTTTCTTAGAGACCCTCGGATCAAATACAACAAATCAAACTAATTATGTAAAAGGCAGTGGAGAAAACAGGTCAATTAATAAGAGAAGTAGTACATACTGTCCAAAGAAAGAATAGTTCCAATAACGAAATAATGCGGTAACTGAAATACAAAAAAAATATATGATAACAACTATCAAAAGCAAGAAAAAAAACATGTAAAAGACTACTACTACGACATACACGGTGCTTCCAGACTCCCGCCAAGCCTAATCCCGCTGAAAAGTGAGACAAAACTCAACTACCTACTAACCTTCTACCCTAATCCACGATCTCCATATCCTCGTGTCATTGATGAGCTGAAGTTGCACCATGTCCTGTCTAATCACCTCTACCCAATACTTCTTCGGTCTACCTCTACCTTTCGTCATACCCACTATATCCAACCTCTCACACCTCCTTATTGGGGCATCTGCACCTCTCCTCTTCAATGCCCAAACCATCTCAGGCCTCACTTCCCTCATCTTGTCCACCACGGAGGCCACTCCCACTCTGTCCCGGATAACTTCATTTATAATCTTATCTCTCCTAGAATGCCTACACATCCATCTCAACATCCTCATTTTTGTAACTTGTATCTTGTGAACATGGTAAATTGGGATCAACTGTTTACTCAAAACGTCTCATCGCTAACTCTTCTTTGAATCCTGGCTAATCATGTCTTGAATGATACAGTTCCTTAACCATTAAATTTTAATGACAGAATACATGTTCATCTGTAGCATCTTCAGAAAGGTTGTGTCCACTAAAAAGCAGAATTGATGCAGTTTGACAGTTCATCGAACTTTATGTTGTTATCTAACTTAACAAATTCCAATCAAGCTCACACAACTTGTCTTTTAGCTTAGGGTGATCATTATCTACTAGTAATAAATTGCTTTGGAAGAATGGTTTCTGGATATAATTATCTTTCATAATGACAGGTTTATAGAAGTTTTACATATATAACATATTTCTTTCTTTGACAATTACATAACGTTGGAAGTACTCCTATATCTCATAGGATTGAGAACATTTGGTAGTTTAAACTGAGGGATGAAAGTTGCAGGCATATCTGAGAGCGAGATATACAATTTAAACGTAAATCTGAAAGATTCTAATTCTGCTGGGAGACTGACAAAGCTACCCTCAACTGCAAAGAATGGTGCCAAATTCAGGTATGCCATTCAGGGGCTCCATCCATGTGATGCTACACTTAAATTAGTTTTCTCTTGACCATACCCATCTAGTCTTTTCCCTCCTTTCTATGCTTCTGTCTTTCCGCACATGGTTAATTAGCTATACCTTGCAGTGGGACTGAAGTATCAATATCAATATCCAAGAGCCTTGATGACTTATTGGCAGAGATTACTTGCTTTCTTCAAAAGGTTCATTTTTCATGTCTATCAGCTGATTCTAGCTATGATTTCCTAAATTATATGAAAAATTCTCTAACTACAGTTTTTCATTTCTGTTTACGCAGATGATCCTTCTGAAGATTCCGGTTAGTTCATTACTTTTCTTGAAATGCTTTATATTTAAATCAAATGCAACTATCTTCTCTATAGACCCCTCTTATAAATGATAGCTACTAACTGTTCAGACTGCTCAAGGCGTTCAGTGTGGACCTACTAAATGCAAGTGTATATATTTTGGATGAGTTCACCATGTCAAAAATATTTCTGTTGTTATCAGATTCGCATTAAGATTTGAAAGCTTTAAGCTTCTATATGTCATTAACCTACTTCTTTGGCCTTATTATATTTAAAAAGTTGTCTTTTTCCATATACTGTTTTCTAGTAAATAGCTAGGAGCCTAGGACCACTACCTCTCTGTGGCTGATAGTTTGTTTCTCTTCTTACAGAAAGTTGTAATGGAACTCTTAGTATGTGGTGATGATCCTTTAAGTTCACAGATTGAAAGTCGTATTCTGGCAACTGAGAGCAGCTCTGCATATTCTCCTGTTGAAAGCATAGAATGCTTGAAAGTGGGACTCAAGGATTATATTCGTAAGCACCAAACTTGCTTCTCAATTGGGTGAGTACTAGAAAGGTGCTAGGTTTTGGTTAATGAATGATGGATGCATTCCAACCTCTAGTTTTTGTTGAAGGGTGGATAATGTGTTAATAGGTCTTACTTACACATGTTGAAATCATAATTCTTAGGTGCTAACATGAAAAGATAACAAAGAGTACTGAGAAATGCTATTTCTTGTTTCTTCATTGTACACTTTGACATAGTTTCCCTGAACTTTGTCATTTCCTTGTTTTACATGGACTATTTCATCTACTAACTTTAAGTTAGCCTTTCATTCTGCAATTTTCCCATTAAAAAGTGTAACATTTGCAGTTCTTCGCTCTTTCTTGTGTGGTTTTGTCTGTATGTCTGACCGTACATTAAGGTACTTCAGTGTGATGTAAAGTAGTGCATTATTGTTCTGAAATATACAATTTGTTGATTTTACCTTCTTAAAATACTGGTGACAAATAGTTAGATTGAGTGAAGATGGGAAAAAGAAGCTTGGGATGCACTGGACCAGGTGAGAGAAAGTCAGGATCAAACATGAAAGGGAATGCTAGAACTCCCACCATAGAAGCAGACTGAAGGAGGAGTAGAGGCAAGACAATTGATCACATGTAGCATGCAGGAAGTAGTACTTAAGTTTCTTAAAATCTGGTTGACAGCTCAATTGACTCCTTCTCTGTTTTGATGTAGGAGGATTTAAGTTTGCTAACGTAATTTAGTTAAGATCTATTTGTGGTGCTAAACTAGAAATTACAACGGCTCATATGGTATATGTAAAATTGCAACATCTCATATAGGATCTTTGGTGATGTAACTGTTGTGCAGAATCAAAAACAAAACAAAAAATCAATGTGCAGTGCATTGAAACAAGCTTGTACATAAAGTTGTAGTTTCTTATTTCAGGGAAAACCTGAAGGTTGGAACTGGGGTTGCTAACTCTTCAGGTAGTTCTCAGGGAAATAGCCAGGTGGTGGAAGCTGTTGTGATTATCAGTGAGATGTCAGAACTAGTCCCTTCTTCCAGCATCAGGGAACAAGACATGAAAACAGAGGTTTGCTTTGGATTATTAATTGAAGAAAACTCTTCAAAGCGTAAAAAATGTTTGCATTCCAATATGTGCTTTATTAATTATGTTGTGACCAAATGTTAGATAATAGCTCACTGTATAGATGCCATGTTGCATAATCTTTCCCAACATCTATTAACTTGTGTTTTGAGTTCATTTGTTGTCCTAGAATGCGTGGATTGTGAAAACTAATGATAATATCACAGATATGCATTATTTATGTCTTTGGGATTTCAACTTTCAGGGGTCTTTTATCACACTATGAATCTCTTGTTTTCATATAAGCATGGAGCACAAGGTGAAGAACCTCGTGCACTTTATGGTGTGTGGAGGCTAAGATTTATGCAACTTCCCCTACATCATGGTGTAGATAACTATTTATGCAAGTAATAACTGAAAAATATTTTTGAACTTTTGAGGGCCAGCAAGTGGACCTCTTTCTTTATGGCCATCTTGATGACATTGGATTGGATAGGTTACATTACACATACAACAACTATGTCTCAATCCCAAGCAAGTTGGGGTTGGCAGTATAATCCTCACTGACCATGTGGCTCCATTTATGTTCATAAATAGATTACATATCAGGAAACAAAATTCTATGTGGAAAGTGTGATTTTCATATTGTAATATAAAATAACCTATTTTCTAAAATAGAGTATCCCCAGTGTACACCAAACAGGATACATTAATTATCCGATCTTATCTACTGTGGACAAATATGGTCTCTGGTATTGAGTCTAATTAATATTGCTTATTAAACTTCGAGGATATCAAAAGCTTTTGCTTAGTGAACTATACAAGTTATTGGTTGGCTGTCCCAGCCATTTCTAGTCCTTACAGTTGTTTCCAAAAGTATACGAAGGAGGGGGACTTAATATCTAACCTCCAAAGTAAATGAAACACAAGTGAGGACACAAAGGAAGGTTTTCAGGAAATCCCACTTATCAGCTAAGCTCACAAAAAAGGTGCGATGAACATATGAGGATTCCAATATGAATCCTCACTTACTCACTAAACTTGGCCAATTCCTTTCTTCTGTGTCTTGATTCTAAAGTTAGCAAAGCCAGCTTTATCCATGATATAAACTCCTCTCACTGCTTGAGGGAGCTCATTAGCAGATATAGAAATTCTGTAAGATTGTTTGATAGCTCCAAACTTAGCTAGCCCATCTTCCATAGCATTGAGTTCCCCTTCCATTCATGCTTGTCAAATATTCTGGATATCAAGTCAGTCAGCTTTGATGGTTCACTGATGCCATTGATCATATCCACTACTATTTTAGAGTCCATTTCCAGTAGCACATTAGTAATTCCATTATCTGGAAACCCCTGCAAGCCAGTGCTAGGTGCAATAGCCTTGGCAACATTACTAGAACTTAAAGGAAGAAGCTCTGAGAAGGCCATGACAATTTTTCCCTGATGACCTTTTAGAACCCCCTCTTCTCCAGCTAGTTTCCCTTCTAACATTGAACTGCCATCAGTGTTGAGTTTGACATAATTTTGAGTAGGCTTGTTCCAGTATTTTTTTTTCAATCAAAGGGTTACTTATATTATAATATTAAAGATTGACAGTAGTAACAGGTTCTTCGCCCGTTGCCAAGGACATATCGTTGTTAATAGTTTGGGTCACATCCCGACCCTGAATAATACAAATTGAGGGCTTGTTCCAGTTGACAGTAATACAAGTGAGCTTTGGCTTAAGTTATCCACTAATCACAAACCTCCCTCCTGTTGGAGTTTAAGTTAATCAACCCAAGATCTTTGAAATAGCAATGTTCAGATTAACAAAATATTTAAGCAATTTTTTAAAAATTAAGTTCCATGTATCTGTTGATGAGGTTCTGTTGAAGTTTTTTAAAATCATCTCTAAGCATTACTTGCTCGTCTTCTTTCAGTTAAGCCAGTATCTCGCACGCCTTTCAGTGTTGTAGTTTGTTTGTGTTTCTTTAATTTGTTTTAATGATCTTCTATGCCTGATTTCAGATCTTATATTTCAAAGACTTTGTACCTTGTTCTATTGCTCAGTCATCCCTCGATGCATTGACAAGCATCAACTGGAAAAGCTATGGGTTGGCTCTGCAGAGTGTTGCAGATCATGATGATAGTGTAATGCTGGAATGGGAGAACCTGCCACCAGATTTCCAAATTTATATTGCCATCCATTGTTACCATAGACAATATCCATCATAATATAATACATATCCATGAGAATTGACATGGTCATACACTCTTAGCATTAACTTCAAACAATGAGAATTGTCTTTTGCTTAACTTGTTGACAAGGTGAAACAGTGGGTTGCAGAAAACAGTTTTCCTGATCGAAATCTAGCTAGAAAAGCTATCAAGTGTTCTTTGGATGACTTGAAAGAAAATAATCAAGGGGTTCTCCTAAGTACACGTGCACTTAAGGTAATTTTCTCACTCTTCTCTGCATTCTTTCTGGTCATTGGATTTTCTAGTTCCTGGTATTGGCTTGGTATGTACAAAATACCTCCCATTGTTTGATCTATTCTGCATTCTTATACGTCCATACCCAAACATGAAGCTGAAAAAGTAGTTTGTTTTTTCTTCTTCTTTTGATACGGATTTTTAAAGAGTGGTTGCTAAGCAGACAGTATTCAGTAATTCCAGTTGGCTAGGTAGTTCACATACAGAAACTAGGCATGATGTGGACTTCACATTCTTTAAACACCATCTGAAGTTCTATATGACTAGTGCTGATTGAATCTGAACAAGGGATAACAATTATTCAAACATAAATTAGAGCAGTGATTGGCAAGAAATCTATTCTCATTGCCTCATTGGGGATGAAAGCTTCCTAGAAAAATTTCTCCTTTTTACTGGGAGTGGCTTTTAAAGCATCATCTATTTAGCACTGCTGTTCCAGCCTGTCAGATGTAGCATTTTTATTAGCTGGAAGTGCATATGCTTTCATATGTTTCTGCAGAGTCCTTTTAAATTCAGTACCCATATCCATGGTCAGGAGCATACATAGTATGACAGTAGCTAATGCATCCGCAACCTCTATCCCAGACATTATCTATATATTTGATTAGTTTGTATCTATATGTGTGTATAAATTAATCCACTGCTACAACTTAGCTATAGGTGCAATAGGATTCCACATGAACCAATTTAAAATCTCGATACACCTTCTAGCTGATTATGATCTTCTTTGAGCTTGAAATGGCCAAAATTTCAGTTTTCCTTCGCATACATAGCTAAAGTTCTAAAAATATTTCTCCCTCAGACATGTGATTATGCACCTGACCTTGCAAAAACGCTTGCTCGCCTGATCTTATCCTCCAATGACTTGAACTTCCAAGAAGAATGTTGTTCTCTTCTCGGGGTACAGTCTCAAGAGGTTAACACGGATAATGTTGGAAATTGCATCAGGGAGAAGATAATTTCAGTCATCAGATTAAATGATCGCAACTCCCATAAGCATAAAGAAGCCCCAACCTTCCTATTTGAAGATGATTGTTTCCAGAAAGAGGATTTCATGGACGAGGAATATCAAGAAGGTGAAGAAGCTTACAACTCTTTGGATCTGTAGAAGGTTAGGAGCATTATTAGATGTCCAATTATTAATTTCTTCTCTTATTATGTTTATAGTTTACCTCACAATCAAACTATTCTAGTTACTTCTGCTTGGCTTTATTATTGCTATGGAAAAGGGTAAATGGATTTATCATTCTGGGGGCAAACAATATGTATGGACTTCATGGTCCAGAGTAGATAAACTGATACTCAACCATTTCTACAACGTTGTGGTGAAAAAGAGAATATATATATATATATATATATATATATACACACTTCAAAATTTCATTTTCTCAGTTTTTTCCATGTTACTGAAATATCTAAGGATTCATTTGGTCATAGATTTTGGAAGTATCTTGTAGAATTATTATCTTTTGTCAAATATCAGTTCAACATAGAAATCATCTAGTTTTTGGGAGATTAGTTTTCAAATCTCAAAAGTTGCTTCAAACTTGTTTTTGCCCCAAAATCTTACATTATATGAAAGTGCCCTATTGATTACTTCAGATTTATTTTGCTTGATTTGTATAATTTTTTCTTTACATTTGTAAACCCTTGTCAACATAGATGTGATTTTTCATCTCCTACCTTGAATAATGTTTGCTTGTAATGTATAAATTTTTATTTGTAAGTCCATGTTAATATATGAGGTCTCTCATCTTCTACCGTTGTTATTCTTGAATTTTTTTTTTAGTACAGATGGATCTTCCTAATAATTTAGTTAGTAATCGCGTTATTAGCAATTTTATTAAAACATTGTGTTTTGATTTTAGGATATATAATGTATCATCTAATTCATTATTAAAATGATAATTTTGTGTCAGTTAATTTGTATATAGAATTATTGTTTTTGATAATAATAATTAAGGTCATTAATAAATATTCTGTATAATTTGGAATTAATATGTTTGTTTGAAGAGAAAGAACCCTTTTCATTTCTCTGTCTTTCGACTAATATCTCATTACTAACTCAGCCTTGCTGCTTTGAAAATTTTCACGTATAATATCAGCCTAGATAAATTCGTTTCCTTGAAGTACTTGAGATATAGGTAAGTTTATTTATTCCTTCTTCCATTCATGCTTACTTATTCATTTTGGAGCGTGCATGTTCTTTAAGATATAATTATTTATGTGAGTATTTTATCACAATACTCGTATAACTTGGTGTATAGTCTTTGGTCTTCAGAAATAATTTGAAAATAAATAATTAATATTACATATTCTTGAAATACTGGACAAGGAAAAATGAATGGAAAAATTATTTCTTTGCTTAGCCCATGGAGCCGGCCCAACCCAACCTGTTATTGGGCTAGGGTTGGGATAGAATTTTTCAAGCCCATTTAAAATTAGGGCTTAGAAGCCTGACCCATATAAGCTTTTGACTTTTGAGGCTTGATCGGGGCCGAGCCGGGGTCAACCCATGGGCTAAAACTATTTAGTTTAGGATAAGAGCAATTTTCACATATAGCAAACACAAAATTTATATTTGTATGTTATAACAAAGTTTGCATAATTGCGCTCCATAGCAAACATATATATGTATAATTCGCTATACATATACAAAAAAAACAGTTGTATAATTATTTTGGGTGTCTGTCACTATTTTGTTACAAATATAATTCTCCAAGAAAACTATTATTGAAACATCAGTTAGCATAAATTGTTGTATAACATATACAAATATTGCAACTCTTATGTTCTGTCAAGAACTCACAGTTGCCTCACAGATTGAGCAAAATAACATAAGTAAGCCCCCTCAATAAATTAGAAGTTGTCCAACATGATCGAGTTGAAGAGAAAGCAGAGAAAACTGTACAACATAAAGAATTGACACAAAAAAAAATCATGACAACTCAATTTATGCCAACGTAGGTAGCAGAGTCAATATCGAAACGTAAACATCTGAAGTAAAAATTGTATAATCCAAAAAAATTGGAAAAAAATTAGGAAAAATTACTTAAATACAGAACACTTCTTTACCTATTTTCAATATTTCCCTACTCTTTACTAAAATACAAAAATCCCTTATTTTCCCCCAATTCAACTTAACCGGATACTTTATTAGTTTAAGTATCCGCCCGTTATTAATTAAAGTATCCGCGTTGCTATATTATGCATCCGCCCGTTAATTAAGTATCCGTGCTGCTAACAACTTAATAATTTAAGTATCCGCCCGTTATTAATTAAAGTATCCGCGCTGCTATATTAAGTATCCACACTGCTATATTATGTATCCGAAAAACACTAAAAAAGGGATTTTTGGTAATTAATGAAAGAGTAGGGAAAGGAAGTAATTTCTTTCTTATACTATGTCATTTGCCTAATTTTTACTTAAATATTAGCTCCTAAGACCTAATTTTTTGTATATGTATAATTCGCTATACATATACAAAGAAAGCTGTTGTATAATTCGTTATACATATAAAAAAAAAGCAGTTGCATACAAAAGATCAATTGTATAATCTGTGTATGTATAAAACGAAAAAGAGAGAAAGGCAAAAGAAAATTGGGCAGGGAAATATTTGTATTGTATAATTGTAAGTGTATAGGACGAAGATATGTGTATTTGCATGTGTATATACAATTTTCTCTCGCTTTATACAAACAGAAGTGCAATTTATACATTTCGTTTCTGTTTGTATAAAGTGAGAGAGGCGAGTGAGCGAGCGAGATCTGAGAGAGTGGCGAGCGAGATCTGGGAGAGGGGAGAGAGGGGAACAAAAATATATGTATATATACAATTTTCTCTCGCTTTATACAAACACAAACACATTTTATACATTTGTGTTTTTGTATAAAGTGAGAGAGGCGAGCGAGACTGCCACCAAACGTTAGTGGCGAGCGAGACTCCACCAGGGAGAGTGACGAAAATAGCAATAGTTTGCTATAGGGTACAATTAAATCAAAGTATATTTATAGCATTTAATTTGAATTAATAGTTTGCTATTATATATAATTTTCCCTTAGGGTAACTTACAAAAATCTCTTTAGTGTATGAGTTAATTACTTAAAGGCACACTATATTGTAATTTTAGGAATCTTATCAGATTTTAATACGTCAAGATACATGTATCTCAGAATACATGGATTCAAAATTAGAGTTTTAAGTTTGAAAAACAAAAAAAAAGGCCAGCCCGCAGCCCTTCTAGGGTTGGGTTCGGCATTTTCAGGCCCTTTCAAACGAAGGGTCGGTCCGCCTTAGCCCATCAAATTCCCTGATCGGGTGGGGCTGGGCTGACCCTTTTTGATAACTTTAGAAATTAATAAAAGAATACATTCAAAAATTTAGCAAAGTTTTCTTGGTATAAATTTCCGAAAGTGAAAAGTGTAAAGACACGCAATGACAGGGTCAAGTCGAATATGAGTGGGTGTCGAGTCGATATCGAGAGTAGGGTCTTATATGTCAATGTCTTGTGTTTTACAACTCTTTTCTCCCCTAAAATGTAGCCCAAAAATATTTCCCCTTATAGAGGTAGTTAGCTTTCAACAAATTAGCCAAACAAGGGCCAACTAAAGGGAAGAACATATATTTTCCTTGCTGGATGATAAGATTTTTTGTTGCTTTCACGATATGGGAATCTACATGTATAAACAAACAAGATTAAAAAGTTTCTCCACTGATAAAATAAGAATTTTATTTCAAGACTCCTTTTGCTCGATTAGTTAGACTTGCAATCAGTCGATAAAGCTAATTTCAGAAATTCCAATATCGAATTACAATGTTTGTTTAAAGTGGCTACAAACATAAAGATATATAGCTCGTGCGTGCTAGTTACTGCAATGTAAGTATTGAGGTAATGATTGAAGCAAGTGAGCCAATCAAGGTTGCTTCATCATGCAAGTGTAGGCCATGCACATTTGGCTGTCACCAATGTGGAATCATCTAATATTCTTTTACCATTTCATCATGCAAGTGTAGGCCATGCACATTTGGCTGTCACCAATGTGGAGTCATGTAATATTTTTTTACCATTTATGTTGAATTCTTCGTGTTTACTTTTAAACAATAGACAATAATTACGCTAAATAGTGAAAAAGAACTCAAGGAGATTTGATTGATGATAAGATCATAATTCATCTATAGCTAAATAGTGAAAAAGAAAATACTACTCCCTTCATTTCAACTCGATCTTTCACTTTTTGGCAGCTTATTAATTACAACTTTTCACCGAATATATTTAAAACTATAAGATTAAAAGTCATTTTGATACATATGCATGTCAAGTTAAAGTCGGACAAAAAAATCAAACAAAGAAAGTAATACATTTGATCTAACAAAATTTTTATGCATGGGGTCAGGGGTTACTCGAAAGTAAGGCACTTACCTTAGGCCTCCAAATTTGAGGGATGGGTGAACTATGAAGGTCATTTTTTGGCAATAATAAGATTATTATAAGTATTCTTAAAAATAAAAAGAAATTGTACCATTTATTTAAATCTTTAATTTAAGATTATGAAATTCAGAAGTTTCTTGTTTTTTTATTTAATTCCAAACTCATTTTAAGTCAAAATCACATAAATAAATTGAAATTATTCTTTTAAAAAGATTAAAAAAATTCATATAAAAGAAAGAAACAATTTTGAAACTCAATTTATTTTTAATTTTGGGCCATCACTTAGATGGGGTCACATCTTGGTTGAGAATCACTCGTCGCATTCAGGCCCTTATCATTATTGTTCCACTTCCCATTGAATAAGGAAATTTCCTACCCTACTAATTTTGTTGCTCTTCTTTCTAACATAAATTATTTCTATCAAGAAAGTTTTATGATTTTTTGGGAGGGAATAGTATATGAACGAAAAATTGTTTTATATAAATATTTCTATTATTCATAGACCTATATATATAAACAAAATAGTAAAATCCTCTTACATTTAAAGTATATGACTCTATTATCAAAGGATATTGTGAAATGAATGAAATTGTTCTATACTTAATCAATAATTTAAGGTTCGAGTCTTGGATATAGAAATTTTTTTGGTAGGGAGCACTTGCCCCCACCACCCGAATGAGACTCTACACGGTGCAAATCTAAAATAGTCAGACTCCAATATAAGTATCAGTAGACACCGAGTGAAAAACCTAATAAAAATATATGACTCTTATTAAAAGTTTCTACAATTAAATAACAAACAATTCTTAAAAAACAT